GGGAACTAGCAGCCATCGAGGCTTGTCGGCGGGTGACGTGGAGTCGTAATGATGATCATAAATGGTAAAACAAGGTTGAGAAAATAATGTTCTAAATCACCCTCGGGGGAGGAGTCGGCTGATTGCCGAGTAGCAATCTTTGGCTCGACTGAGTCTGTCCTCGGGATAGCGTATTTGTAAGAAACAGGGGACACCCAGTAACACCTGCAGGATAAAAATCCTCCAAATTTTCAAAAAGGGAGGGAAGAAGGGGGAGGCACTTAATTGATCAATAGGCTAACAATGGATATAGCTGTGAATCAAAAGAGAGAAAAAAATAACATTCTGACATAGATATTTCCCGTAACTAATACTTTACATCTGCTGCCCATTAAAGCTGACCTCTAATTAGATTTTGCACTTCTTTACATCTGTTTATATTGTTGAAGATGACCCTTCATGCATTGAATATAACAACCAAATGCGTGAACTTAACTTCTGATAAATTTAGTACTCTCTCTTTTCTCTTCCACACAAAATAATACCATGCATGAATTTTCGAATGTAAGGTAAATATGCTTTTTTTTTATTCTTCTGAGAAACTGAATGCTTATTTAGTACAAAACATGCATTCATTATGTTCGTCTTCTTACCATATATGCATGTATGTTAATTTGGACATCCATTTATACAAATAATTAAAAATGATATAATTTATAGCTTGTAAATTGACAATAGTAATGCACATGAAAATGCTTCGTGAACAATGACAAATTGTTTGTGCGCGTTTGTGCGGTTGTAAATTGACAATAGTAATGCACATGAAAATGCTTCGTGAACAATAGTAATATTTATTAGCACTATCAGCTCATACCAAATATCCTCTTCTTAAACATAAGTTAGTTGACCAAGGATAAATTTACCTATAAACTCCTATTATGTGCTTAAACTCTAACACAAAAGCCCTTGTGATTGTGATCTTCTCAGACAAGCAACCAAAAATACAACCCATTACATTCATCTGAAAGAAAAAGCCACTAGCATTCTCAATTACTAGTGTGCACCCGTGCAAAACTCAGCCCCCCAATTTTTTTAAGCACCGTATTTTAAACTTGCCTTCTAATAAGTTTTAACACATTTGATTTAATTATTGTACGCTTAAAATTAGAAATCATATCTTTTCCTATATACTTGAAGAATGATTCTGGTTTTAATACATTTAATTTAAAAATCATATCTACTCCTCTATACTTGAAGGAGGATCCATGTTTTAATATACATTTTATTTGCTTTACTGTTTATAATACAGTAAATTACTGTCGAATGAATAGTAGCTTCAAGTATAGAGGCTCAGATCTGATCACGATACAGTAAATTACTATAGTATCACCTGCTAGTGGGAAGGGCCAGGTATGATTTACTGCTCATGCTACATTAATTTACTGAAGTATTTACTGTAGTATAAACAGTAATTCTTTAGATTCTCTTGAGTATAGAAGAGTAGATTTACAAGGAAAAGAAATATTTATTAGCATCATAAATAAAATTATTAAACGTGACGTATAAAGACGGCACCAGAATTCTGAAAGTTGCCTGATGACAACAGATGAAGCAAGAACTCTATGGATCATTTATCCAAATCGAATAAGTGGTTGAACAATTTCAATGACAATTCATGATTCAATCTTAATAAACATAATCTTAATTCGTTTCCATCAAAGGACGTCTTATTTCTCAACTGAAAAACAAAGAGCTCTATTCCAAACTTCCAAGAAAGTTACATATGTTAAACTTAGTTCCTCAGTTGCTTGCAGGATTATACAAAATATCAGCTCGATTTTGTCGAAAGAAAATTTTGTGGGTCAGACGCACCTCATGCCTCAGGACTTTGATCCCCCGATTCATTGTCCAACTTTACGATCATAGAGCATATACCCAGGCTGTATGAAATAAATTTTGAGACTTGAACCATTGAAATCTAATGAAAAGACTGAAACAAGCATCAAAATTTCAATTATGCATACCTTCAGAACAGCAGCAACAGTGCCGGCAGGTTTTGAACCATCAGGTATCTGGAAAACTGCATGATGTCTGTGAGGATCGAAGTTCTCGTTTGTCGGATCAAATTTCTCAACACCAAACTTCCTAAATACCTGGAAAAACAAGAGCAGGCTATAAGCTTTTCTCACCCTAACGGGAAAAAAGTGTTTTAATCTGAACAAGAACATTACAGTAAAAGGGTGATAAAATGTCATCTTTTGTAAAAGTTCATACCAGTCTAAACACTAGAACAATAGAAAGATTGATTGCAGGTAACCGATGTACTCAAAGGTTTAGCCACCTATACCCCCTAAACTATTTTATTAACACTTAAAACACCTCTAACCTTCAGATGATAGTATTTCTCACATCTGGCTGAAATGTCACAAGTAAATTATCTTTTGCTCTCAGTTTAACTCGGAAAAAAAAGAGCTAACTTCACTTCGAAATTGAGGGCCAAAAAGTGATCCGTCTAAGATTCAATGGATGATTAGCACTATTAAAATAGTTTACAGGGTATTATAGGATACACAACCATACATGGGTGTATGAGGTTAGCGACAATTAACCCTTCAAAAATGGCCCAAAAGAGTGCAGTAAAAGAAGATACTAGGTGGAAAAATAAAAACACCAATCTTGTAAACATACTAGAGAGAGGCCTAAAGCAATGAAACAATACTTTTGACTTTTGCAAACAAGTATAACTCCCATAGGGGTGCAAATCAGGTTTAAGTAAAGTATTATAAACGAGTTTGTTTGAAATTTGAACCTAACCTACCCAGACTAGGGGGTGCTTGTGTACCCAAGAGTGAAAAGTGAAAGTGAGATAGTGATTCACATTCGTCACTTAAAGTGTTTGCTTTATTGAAAGAGCATATGTGAAAGTGAGATTCAAAAATTATGCCACATAGGAATTAATGCATATTCTATGCCTATGCCATATGAAAGTGAAAAGATGGGCAACACTTAACTAATTTAAAAATAATCCTTAATTAAAGTTCTTTTCTTCTAGTGCATTTTTAACTGTCAATTATTTTTTGATGTATGGCTGCTGAGTTCCAAAGTTTCGATTATTGTTTTGATGTATGGCTGATGAGGTCCAAACGTTGCAACGTGCATGTACTTTTTGTAACTTTTCTATAGTAGTCCCTTTAATCCTTTACCATTTTAAATTCATCCTCAAATTATTGAATTTGCTAGGTAATAAAAATAAAATATAAAAGAAACTTTAACAATTAAATGAATAATGGATGATAAATAAAGTTTTGCAAGTGGTTTATTTCTTTCAAATAGTACAGAAGTAATTTTTATTACTAGATAAAACTCACTTTCAATCAATTTATTTGTAGTTCACCAAAAGATCATTGAAAATACAATATAATTTTAAATGAAATAGATAAATAAAATGATATTGTCACATCATTTTTACTTTTCTACTTTCAATAATAATTTGATTTCATAAGCACACATTGTGTTTCACTTTCATGCTGATGTGGATACACTTTTCTCACTTGTCAAAAAAAAGTGACTTTCACACTTTCAGTTTATTTTTAGTTTGCCAAACGCCCCCTAAAGCTTCCAGAATCCAGAAAGGGTAGGTACATTTTGTTGAAAATCAGCTCGAACCAATGTGTACAACTGGAGCTTACAACCCAAACCCAAAGCTTCTTGAGCCTGCCCTAGTTGTACATTCGGGCAAATGCATAGACAAACATACGTTACCACATACATAATGTATCCACATAGAACCTCTATTGACAGACTGATAAACAGAGATACATACATTTACCTATACATATGCATATATGCATACATAAAAAGTATGCTTGTGTAGACTAGTAACAGCTTGAGACTTGACAGACATGCACTTAAGACCATAAGATACCAATGCAATCCATTCATGGATAAAGAATTCTTTTTGTCCATAATATTGATCTATGAAAACGATGAATATTAGATATCAAGTATTAAGACCATAAATGCTAGGACGTGGCAGAGAAGTATGAGTGGGTCACAAGAATGGAGGTGTGTTAAATGAAAGGGGTAAAAAGCAAACTTCAAAATTAAATTGACAGTGAAATCCTCAATTTAATTTAGAAATCTAATGATATTGGAATCTATTGCGTACACGTCGAAAATTAAGTAAATGTAACTCATATAAGCGTAACTGCGAACACATGCCCTCATGTGTATATCTACGACTATATTACAGACAGTGAGGCCATTACAATTTCATAGGACGGTTATAAGACCAATAGTGCTTTATGAGTCAGAATGTTGAGCAATTAAAAAAAATGTGCGACCAATAGTGCTTTATGAGTCAGAATGTTGAGCAATTAAAAAACATGTGTAAAAAATAAGTGTAGCAAAAATGAGAATGTTGCAATGGTCTTGTGGGTATACACTAAAAGATAGGATAATAAATATTCGTAGTAAATTAGAGGTTGCTCCTAATAAGGATAAAATGAGAGAGAATCGAATAAGATGATTTGGTCATGTACAACAGAAACCTCTTTGTGCACCAGTTAGGAAGAGTGATAGCATCATAGTTAATGGGGCTAGGATATCTAGAGGTAGACCTAAAAGAACTTGGTTAGAAGCAATTAAGAAGGATATAATAATGTTTACCTTAATGGATGAGATATTCCACAATAGAATGGGATGGAAGAACAAGATTCATGTAGCCCACCCCAAACATATAGTATAAAGGTTTTGATGTTGTTATAATAATCATCATTTGTGTGGGCCCCACGCTTCCATCTTCACGTGGGTCCCACCCACTCTGTCCTCTCTCTCTCTATTAAAAACCTTTTTTAATAAACACAAAATTTTTACCCTGATTCATTTTTAAACCCACTCAGTTTCAAAAATAATTCTTAAACCCAAAATACCCTCTTCAAATATTTTAATCCATTTTCTGTTTTCATCAGTTAGTTTCCAGCTATAGTTTTGTCTAGTTTGCTATATTTATTTTTATGTTGCTATATTCATGTGTAAGTTGCTGTATTTTGAGTTAAGTTGCATACATTTTAAATATCATATAGAAAACTGATAACACAAAAAGAAATGGCTTTAAAAATAATTCATTAGGAACATTTTGAGTTTAAGAATGATTTCATAAGTAGGTAGATCGAAAAATAAGTAAAACTTCGGTTTCTAAACAAAAAAAATCCCTTAAAAATCGTTCATAAATCTTTTAAGTAATGATCGGGAAAATAAAACAAAATATTATTCCAAAATACATAAATCTTGCTAAAAATATATAAATCTTTCTAAAAACTATTGGGTGCATGATATTTCTTTGTATGCATTATGTGACCTCTCTTTTTGTTGTTAATTTGTTCTAGTGATGTCATAACCTCTTCGTGTTGTTGTGACCCATGTCTGCACATATCATGCACTTGAGCCTGTGCCTATGTCTACTGAATGACCATAAACCCATTGACTTCCCAGGATTTGCTTAAAAAGCAATTAACATGTGATTCCAGATCTTACAGAAAAACAATAAGTGATGGGTGGGTATGACCATAAACCCATTGACTTCCCAGTTTCTGATTAAAAAGCAATTAACATGTAATTCCGAATCTTACAGAAAAACAATAAGTGACGGATGGGTAATGTCTTGGTTTCCTATTTAGCCCCCATGTTTCTTATACTACTTTCATAGTTCATGCATCCGCTTTCCCTTCTCCAATCTCACATACCAAAATATACAATCACAAATTGATGCACTACCCATCACAAGACTTAGTCTAAGAGAACCAACCCCCCCCCCCCCCCCAAAAAAAAAAAAAAACAAAGAAAAAAGTTATAGAAAAAGAGAAGACCCCCATGAACCCGACTCAAAGATTTAGCGGATGTCTGGGGATTTCATACTCCCTATAGATTCATGGCTGGCTGCACAAGGATTCAAACTTCTATTAATGACATGACTCCACCAATTTGACACGAAGAAACTTTATATACTGTATGCAATAACAATTAACAAAAAGAAATTTGAAAAGAACTTTCTCTGATCTGTTACCATCGTAGTAAAAGAACAAAAAACAAAGGCAGTGCAACAAGGACTTCACCGTTAAGTCCATACGATCATACATGGCAGAAGTTGCACATTCATTAGTTTATCAGAATAGCTACAAACACTAAAAGGCAAAACAAGAATAAGAAATATAGCAATAACTTTAAAGCTTCCTAGTAACAGATGGATAATTGGCAGACATATTAGCAGCAGAAGAAGGAGAAAATCACCTCTGTTAGTTGTTTATCAGTCATTTCAACACCCTCCAATAGAGTTCGTAAAAGTGGCACCGCTCCAGCAGAGTCTTTGGATGCATCGATCTTTGAAAAGCTTTCCTTGACAACAGATGAAGCTCTTCCCAGATTATCTGCAACATCTAATAGATTCTTCGCAAAGTTCTGCTCATAATCCAAATTTACAGAATGTATGTCAAATATTGGTTGCATGTGAGATGAAAGAAAACTGAAAAGAACAAATATGGCAACCTAGGAAATATGTGTATATTTGTGCATTTGTGTTGATAGCAGAATGATCAGACCTGTATCGCAAACTTCTTTGAGTTCTCTGCCTCACGTCTAGTCCTGTCCAACACATTCTCCATTTCAGCATAACTACGAAGAACTTTATCTTGCATCTTTTCAATCTCCTTGTGCTTTAACATCAAGAGCTCTTCCTTCTCCTCAACTAACTTTACAAGATCGTCAACAGATAGAGACTCCTCATCTGAAATAGAAACTGCAGTTCAATTAGCATTTCTCCTTTAAAAGAATAGAACTCAGGATACTTGGATTTAGACAAAAACCTGTATCTTGTGTTTGCTCCGGAGCTGCAGACTCACCACTTGTTTTGGTAGTCTCAGTTTCAGGTTCAGTAGATTGGTTAGACTCCTTATCTTTGGATTCAGGAGATGCAGTAGATGAAAACCCATAGCTTTGAAATGTAGCATTTGTGAATTGAGAATTTCGCCATAACTGGCTAGATTTTGTCAAAGATAACCACTGACCGACCGAAGTTAGCATCAGAAATAATGTACAACATATTTCTTTGTATACATGAATAATATCATACATTAATATGCCTTAAGTTGCAGCAATGAATCCACTGGAACTGACTCATTTGGTCACCTGACTAGCACACACTAACATATAGGAATGTCAATGTTCTCTGCACTAGTCTACAGGAATTGGAAATGTTTTCTAGTTTGGTATTCCTGAAGGCAATCAAAACACGGGTACCTAAAAGCTCAAATAGATATATGTCAATCTGGGCTTTGATAATGTGAATACATTCAGGGGAAGTTTCTACAAAGAATGGGACCATGGTTGACCACCAGTTTCATCCTACTAATAACACAGTTAACATCTTGCCAACTGTCATTAATGTTGCAGATTTATCGAACAGTATTCCACACTAGGCTACACTTTTACACCCTATTGTTCCACCACCTTTCCACTTAAATACCCTAAGTTGTAAAAAGTAGCACTTAAGTGCCCCAAGTTGTCCAAATCTAGCATGTTACTACCGCCTGTTAGTTTGAAGTGAGAATATTCTATGGTATATTCCCATATGATTGTTCACATGCCATATGTAGGACTATTTTGACCCTATTTCTTGTTATACCTAGCCTTCTTTTTATTAATTGTAGCATTCCCTTTTTTTTACATAACTCCCAATTTCTCTCCTTTCCCATATTCTCTCCTTCGTCTTGCCCAATTTCTCTCCTTCCCTAATTTCTTTGCAGGCGGTCATGGAAGCTCTCTCCAAATCGTCGTTGATTCTTCAAGTTACGGTGCTTCTCAAGAAAAGAAAACTAGGACGCGGTTGATTGGGGAAAATGGTAAATGGTAAAATTGTGAGATTGTTTAACGGATAAATATCAAAAAAAACCTTAACTTTGGACAATTATTAGATAACCCCCTTAATTTTCAAAATATAACAAAGAAAACCCATAAGTATAGTGGTTAGCAGAAC